CCCCTTTGCCCAGCTCTCCAGCCTGTCCAGTCATGATTGACATTCAAATTCAGAGTGAGAAAGCATGTTCTCGGGTAATCTTCTTGGTCTCATAGCAGAGGTAGAGACAAATGCCACTCTGTTGGAGACACTCTGTCTGTTCCAGGATACAGATGTCATTGTGTGGGATGTCATCAATGAGAGCGGTCTGTACCGGCTGAGAGGACACAAGGATGCTGTCACTCAAGTCCTTTTCTTGAAGGAGAAGAACCTGCTGGTCACTAGGTAAGCCAGGCTAAGTGTAGTGGTTGATCAGGAAAACAGCCGTGGTTTTACTTACAGTTTAGACATCCTAGGAGCTACAGCCATTTGTATTTTCCTTCTCAATTCATGATATCTGAGACCCACTAGCATCTTAGAATATGATTTCCACGTATTTCTTAAATCTGGTGCTGGAATCCAAGTATAGTAAACAGAACTGAAGTGGCTATTCTGAAAAATAGTCTTTGGAAAAGGGTTTAACTTGCTGGTAAATATAACAGCTTAGAACTATAACAAAGAATAGTGATAATATGTTCATTATGTATGTAACGATTTTTGCTGTTTAACTTCAAGAATTGAGCAGACATACCCTTGCTCTGTGTAATTCACACAGCAATGTGACAAAAATTGCCCTAGTAAGCTGTAGTTGTAAGAATTAAAAGTTGATAGATGTTTTTAGGAGTAGTTTTTTATTCAATGTGAACTGCTGATTGACTGTATCACTTTAATAGTAACTGGTTGACAGAAGATACTCTTGCTCAAATGTTAGTCAATTTTCTTATTAATATGTCATCTATTAGATCAATAGAAAAGTGCATGCAACCAGCTCAGTGTTAAATTGGAACAAGTTTCTTGTCCTTTTTTTATTGCTTTAAATGGAAAAAATAGTATTTTGTTGATTTGGTAGATGATGGTTTTATCTTAATGCAATTTCAAGTCTTTGCAGGTCACCTTTAGAAATGCTTTTTAATTCTCGCAGTAGCTGAATTGAGAAAAAGAACTCCTCTCTGACTTTTTTTTTTTAAATTAACAGGATGGAGATGTTATCCTGTGTTTCTGGAGATGCAGAGTTTTGCTTCCGTACTTTTTTTTCCCCCAAGCAGCAAACTGCGGTCTTTTGTGTACAGAATTTTTTGTAATATTTTCATATGCCCAATTTAGAAGAACCTTTGGATCTTATGTAACAGAAGAGATGGATTAATAAACATTTATTGTAATCAGATTTTTTTTTTTGGTCCTAATGGAGCTTAATAGTGGGACAAGTTTTATATTTTGAATTGTTTGAAATTTATTAAGGAAAATAGGCCCTAACAAAGTTACAAAAAATAATAATAAAAAAATTTAATTGTTGTAGAGTGTACTGAAAAAATCTGCATAAATGTTCAAACTACTTTTCTCGAGTGGTCTTGTAGTATTGGGGTAGCATAATACAGCCAGAAATACATTTTCAAGGAGATGTTATCCTATAGGAGCTTTGAGGGAATGGAACAGCTGTCATTCTCTGTTAGGTGAAGCAGCTCCAGATCACCGTTCAAAATGTTCTTGTAGCCTGGTTGACACACAGGCATGGCACAAGTTGAAAACGTGGAGAAGGGATTTAGAGGCAGCTTTTTCTCACCCTGAGAGTGTTCTCACCCTCAGCACTTGAGAAAGGAGGCCCTGTGGCAGAGCAGCCTGCATCTGAATCCAGATGAGAAAGCAGTTTCCAGTGCCTAGATACTTTTTTGCAGTACCTTTGCATTGCTATACTTTTTTCTTGCATAGCTTGTGAAATTCAGTGTCTGAGCAGCTGCTCTATGCTACGTTGTGGCATGTCTTTTTGTATTTCTACCACGTTGCTAAGCATGTGAGCTCTGACAGTCTTTCCTCATATGTTGAGTTTTGCTTCTTTATTCCAGCGGCAAAGACACGTTGGTGAAATGGTGGGATCTGGATACCCAGCACTGCTTCAAAACTCTGGTTGGACACCGTACTGAGGTAAAAAGGATGTGTGGGAAGCCATTGGGATGGAGGGACTTTGGACTGCATGTCATGGCTTGCTTTGTGCTTTGCTTGCTTTCACGAATTGTAAACTGGCACTGTGATACATTTTACTTGTTAGGCTTTAGGGACGAACAAATGAGAAAATTCCAACTTTTCCAGGAGCTGTCATCAACGTGCATTGTGTGACAATTCCAATATGGATGTCATTGGAGGAGGTCCCGCTAAATCCATTCTCTTCTTGGTTGCTGTTTAAATAAATCAATTGCAGATGTTCTGCTGTTGTTACGATAGTTAAAGGAGCCATAAGCTAATTCTTCATGTTGTGCCTCTGGACAGGTTTGGGGGATGGCTTTGATATCTGAAGAGAAGCGTCTGATCACTGGGAGTGCTGACAGTGAGCTGAGGGTGTGGGATATCACGTACATCCAGGAGGTAAGATATTCCCACTGTAACCCCTCAGTCTTGCCCAGCAGCTTGTTTGTGGATTAAGATGGGACTGGAACATTTTAAATTGGATACACATTCTTGGAAATAGCTAAAGCAATGTCTTTGCTGTCTGAGGGGTCCAGAAGTTGTTCTGGGGATAGACTTGGCTGTTTTCTGTGCTTTGTTCTTTCAAGTGAAGCTGTAAGCTCTCCCAGGACAAGATTTCCAGAGTGTGTCAGATCTTCCTGCTTTCTGGCAGGAAGAGAAAAGATAGTCTTGCGGGTGGATGATAAGCAGGATGAAAAGCACCGAACACATGGAGTGTTTGTTGCCTACAGGCATGCTGTAGGCCACTCCTTTGTAGGAGGGTTTGTTAACCACTGGTTTCTCCAGGGAAATGAACTGTGAGAGAGACAGAAACCAGAACACTGTAGCTCTTGTGGTTTAAGGTACTCTTTATGGCTTTTTTTTTTTCTGTGTCCATGAACAGGTAAAAGACCCTGATGAGCCAGAATCCAAGAAAAGCAAAGGATCTTCACCTGAAGCAGAAGAAAACACTGAAGAGGAGGAAACCCTAGAGTTGGATGAGTGTCCTGAGGAAGTAAGCTGAGTTTGTCATGCTGTCCATGGGATGATGTATCTAACCCCATTTGCATGATGCTTCTTGCAGAGCCAGCAGGAGTTTGAGAATTGCTCACACTTTACTAATTTGTATTGGCTTTATAGCCTAAATGTCATGTTTAGCCTGTTAGGGAAAATGTGCTAATCCTTGTCTTGTTTCATAACATTTTCCTCATCAGCAATTGCTGCCTCATGTCCTTGCAGAACATCAGCGGAAGTATGTGTGCCAAAACACAATGCACATGTTATTCTCCACTGCAAACTTTTTCTTTGCCTTCTCTTTGAGGAGGATTAGCAAATGTTTAAAGTTTGACAGTGCTATCAGAACTCTTTTGTGAGACAACCTGGGAATAAAATAATGACTAGCTCGTTGGCAGCTGCTGAGTTCTGCGCTGATGCTCAACTTTGCAGGCTGGTAGCAGCAGTTGAGAGGTCAGAAAGCTACTCCTACTTGTGCTGCTGGTGGAGACTTTACTGAATCTGTCTGTCTGGTGGAACTTTCTGGGGTCCTGCTCAGATTTCAGAGCGCTTGTAGTTATGGTAGATACCTGACCTTGTTAAATACTTTTCTGACTTCCTCTCCAGAGGATTTCACCCTTCAACCATCCTTTTAAGAGTCTCTTTCCTCACCTTTCCTTCCTCTCCTGACAGAGGAACTGAGCTCTGCTGGCCTTGTACCATAAAAATTCAGCTCTGTCTCTCAAGTATCTATGGATTGCCAGTAAAGTTAAGTAATTCTTCCACTGAGACCGTCAGTGATTATTTTCAGCTAAAACATAAAGACAACAAAACGTAAGGAGATAAGCCTGTGGCTCACACAAATTCTTGTTTTGTCCCTAGATTATCCTTGCTAGCTACTCTACCAAGACCCAGCAGGTCCATTTCCCCCTCTTCTCTTGACTTCCCTTACCAGTAGGTTTCTGAATTTGCTTGAGAGGATCACTTGATCTTTGGACCAAAGTTTTTCTCCTTCTTTCCCAACAGCGCCTCATAACGTGCAGCAAGGTTGGCTCCATCATGCGGGAAGGGAGAGACCGAGTAGTTACTCTTGCCACAGACCGAACGGGCAAGATTTTGGCCTGCCATGTAAGTATTGAGGGGTTCTGCTATTGAGCTGTAGAGGAGGCTATTGAGAGACCATGGGTGATTTCTGTAATTGTCAGCCAGAGCTTTGAATACCTTTGACTTTGTTTTCTCTGTCTCTAGGGAACAGGTGCTGTTCTGGAAGTATTTTCTGTCCTTTCTGAAGAGGAAATCCAAAAGAAATTGGAAAAGAAAATGAAGAAAGCAAAGAAAAAAGCCAGGTAAGCAATCTTTCGGATGTATTTGGATGCTGTCCATGTCCAGATAACATTTAGAAAATCACCTCAATAGCATGACGCAGTGGTTGAACCCTAAGCTACTGGTCATTTTGTTTGTGGTAGCTGTTGTATTTTGGGATCACTGTAACTGTGCAGCCTTGGTGCTTCTCTGAGCAACATTGCTCCCAGAGACTAAGAAAATGCCTTTACGAATCTTCCTCTTGAAAAAAAAATGCGAATGTGTGCAAAGGAATGGACATAAAATGAGTTTTTCAGAGTTGCTTACTTCTGTGTGACATTCATATTTACACTGCTTGGTGCATCAAATAAAGTCCTTTATAGGACATACAGGAATGAGAGTTTCATCAGGGAAGTCTAAAGTGACTCTGGTATCTCATCTCCTGTTTTACCGCAGCCAGAGATACAAGTGAGAGTTTTCTTAATGTTTACTTTGTGTTTAGTGTCTGGTTATCCTGGCGCTTAACAGGTGCCTTGCAACAGCCCTTAGGGTGAGGCCTGGAATCAGGGTAGAAACTGAAGCACAAGGCGTGTAAACCTAGAGATGTGTTTTGGCAATGGCTGAGGACTTTTGGTGAGTGGTAGGGTTTGAGCAGAAGCTGATCTCCCTCTCAAACACAGCTTTCTGATATCTTTTTTGTATCCATCTGGATGCAAAAGTACTCCCCACCTGGAGTACGGTGTCCAGCTCTGCAGCCCCCAACATGAGAAGGACTTGGGCTTGTTGGAGTGGGTCCAGAGGAGGGCCACAGAGGTGATCAGGGAGCTGGAGCACCTCTCCTATGAGGGCAAGCTGAGAGAGTTGAGGTTGTTCAGCCTGGAGAAGAGAAGGCTCCAGGGAGACCTAGTTTAGTGGCAGGTATCCCTGCGTATGGCAGGGAGGTTGGAGCTAGATGAACTTAAGGTCCATTCCAACCCAACCCATTCTGTGATTCCACCTTTCTAACGTGCCTTGTTCAAGTGCTTTGCCTTCAGAGGAGGTTGCCTTTTTTAGGATGGTTGTCTCTTTGGTAATCTGTACACCATCATGAACTTCATGTCTCAGCCTCTTCTTATATGTAGCTAGCACTGCTGGATAAAAAGGTGGTTGTTTTCAGCAGGCCAAGCGGTTTCCTTATGTTATTCTCTCTGTCTGTGTTGGTTTCTGTTGGCTCTACTGGGATATTTGACTCGCTTCCATTATCTGACATTTCTAGACAGAACTCTGAAGAGGAGCCTGAAAAGAGTGTGGAGCTGAGCCTGCAGGAGGAGATTCAGCGAGTCACTAACATCAGAGCTTCTTCCAAAATTAAGTGAGTGGAAAGCCTGTTGTAGAGGCTGAGCTGTGGTTGTGTAGCTACCTGGGGAGAGCTCCGGGGAGAGAGGTGGAAGAGGTTTCCCCTTTGATGTCTGTTCAGCTTGGAGCTGGGGAGAGGCTTACCATGATCTCCAGTCCATTCACACGTCTCCCACAAGAGACCCCCTTCTTCCACGCCTCTGGCTTAGTGTGCACTTGCTTGTGGCATGCATTCTGTCTGTATTCTTATGTTTGATCCCTCCCACATTTTTTCTTATTGTCCTTGTGTACAGCTCTGATTTTGTTTATTCAAACAGGTCATTTGACTTGAATCTCTCTCCAAAAGGAGAGCTGAAGATAGTACTGCTGCTCCAGAACAACATCATTGAGTCATACAGCCTGAACTTGACAGCACAAGCCCCACAGGCTATCCGTGCATCCAGGATAACCATTGGAGGCCACCGCAGTGATGTCAGGACGTTGGCTTTTAGTTCTGATAACATTGCCATTCTCTCAGCAGCTGCAGAGTCTGTAAAGATTTGGAACAGGTATGCAGTCCACTTGTGTCAGTCCCCTCTGCCCTTTGCATGTCAGTCTCCCAGAACTTAGGGATGATGAGTTCAGAGAGGCAGTGACGGGGAAGAGGGGACGATGTAGAAATATAAAACAGTGACGGAAGTAAAGGAACTGCATAGAAAACTATTTGACTTCTTTCATTATTAGGGATACTGAGAAACTATAGAGCTAAAACTGCATAATTAACACGTGGAGTTTGATGCTGTAAAGCAGCACTGAGGCTAAGTCTGGAAAAAGAGATCTTTAAACACAAAGGTCATACATAGCAGTCCTATATAGTGTTTTTGTTATTTATTTTTTTTTCATTTTTATTAATAGGCACTAACTGTTAACCTAAACTAGCTATTGCCTGTTCTTCAGCAGACGTGGATTTCTTGGCATCTTATTTGAAGGATCTAGTACTAGGTTGGTTAGCCTGCTGTTTTGACCTAGAGTGTTGTCCCACTGTTTCCTGAGTGGTGTCAATTTCAAGCCCTGTTTCCTTTGAATATACTGTCTTATACTTCTCCCTCCTGTCCTGAGCGACAGGAATTGCTTGTTTGAGAACAGGAGCTCTGTCCTTGCTCATTAAAGCGACGTCATGATGGTGGACTATGTAACGGCTTATGTTTATGGAAAATGTTCTTAGTAGTAATGCTGCACAGCATTTGAGTTGTAACATGGTGGTTGTGTATCTTCTGGCCCCAGCTGAAAAAACAGCCATGGGCAGAGGCCACTCTAGAGCATGTCTTAGTGGGCCAGATTTTGTGTGTGAGAAGAGGTTTTGGGCTCTGCCTTTGTTCACAGATCGACCTTGCAGTGTATCCGGACAATGGACTGTGAATATGCACTCTGCTCGCTCTTTGTCCCAGGAGATCGGCAGGTCATCGTTGGCAGCAAGGTAAATAGTGTCCTTCTGTGCTCCAGGCTGCCCATTTCTGAAAAAAGGTTATGAAAATGTCATTAAGGCAGCCTTAACAGAAGATGCATCGCATCCCCTGATCTTGAGCACTCTGGTTTAGCTACAGAAACCTCTCTGACAGACGGATTCTGCTCTGTTCCCGGACTCTTTATATAGCTCTTGCGGCTTGAGCTGGACAGCCAGAGAGAGCTTTGAGGGGTTCTTGATGGAGATCAGGAGCTTGGCCATCCATGTATGACAGCCATCTAATGAAGCTGGCTGTTTGGGAGATGGATGGCACGGGTGCTCTTCTCCTAGGAGCTGTTGTGAAGGCAGAGGGGCTGGTTTGTCCTCTGTAATGGGTCTTTCTTCTCAGACAGGGAAGCTGCAGCTGTATGACCTGGCTTCTGGGAGTCTGATGGAGGCACTTGATGCTCATGATGGGGCGGTGTGGTCCATTGCTCTTTCACCAGACCAGGTAACTCAACCACCCTTCTAAAGTATCTTCCATTGCACATCTTTTCCTGGAGCTCCTTCCTGTAGTCCAGTGTTTACCCTACTGGTGGGAGCATGGGAACCTCTTGTCCTGGGAGGTGGAGGATGCAGCTTGTAGAATCTAAGAACTTTTATCTGTGGATAAATGCACAGCTTGATGACATATCTCTCTAGTTGTGTGACACATGGCAATGAGCCTTTGGGCTGAGTGGGACCATCATCATCACCTCATCTGGATTCTGTATGATTGACAACACTTGGACTTCCCTGGTGGAGTCCATGTACCAAGCAGTGCATACCTTGTGAATGTGTTCCAGCTGTGGAGGACTTCAGCCCCTTTTAATTGTGCTGCAGTGACCATTATCCTCCTTGTTAAATTTGTTCCTTGCTTAATGATCTCATTAACAAGGTGATGTTTCACCTTTGTGTTGCACACTTCTTCAGTGACCAAATCACCCTCCCCATCTATCTGATGGTCATTAGGCTGAACTTCTCTTGTCCTGGAATGATATATTTTCCAGGCTCTTAATAGTTCTTGTGGTCCTTTTCAAGCTACTGTAGTTTTTTTTTTTTTTTTGTTGGTGGCTTCAGGATCTGGGTGCACTGTGTGATAGGAGTTATACCAACGGCCAAATGCACCAGTGTCTTTTGGATCTATTCAATGGTGTAATTAGCTCTTTTGGTGATAAAATATGTATTCAGGTAACAATTCACCATGTCCCCTCAAAGCATGTTTTGGGCTACTGCCTTGCAGAAGGCATATATGTGGGGCTTAGGTCCTTGTTTCCTAATGCATAAGTTAATGTTTTGGTTCTCTTTGGGCACTCTTTTAGACAGATTGAATGGCTCTGACATTTGTATTGATATGTTTAATTGGTTATTTTTCTAGTAATCCGTAAAATATGCAAGCAGCATGGTGTTAAGTTATTAGGTATTTTTAATTTAAAATTAAGCTTTGAAACCTCTCAGCTGGTCTTAAATCCATGGAGTATGTACTCTATTAAACAATATTAACCTAGTTTTGTAATGAAAATGATAACACAAGAGGCATGCCTTGTATGAGCAACACTGTTACTATTATCAACTACTGCTTTAATCTCAAGTAAGAAGATAATCCCTGTCAAATTAATTTTCCATAAATTCTTTTCTTCATATTCAGTTTACTTTCTTTGCTTGGTGGAAACTGCAGTTAACTGTTACTTTTGTTGAACATACTCAGAGCTACCAGGCCTGCCTGTTTACTGTCTGAATTAAGTTGTTACTGTAGTTTCTTCCCAGATCTCAGTATTTTCGAAGTTGCTAAGAACTGACGTTGGCCATTTAGAGAGTACCTCATTCTGCTCTGTAAAAGTCTGAGATTCAAGGGATCTGAACCATTGATTTATAAATGTCTGATGTAGGTGGCTGCTTTTTGACAACCTTGTGAGGTTTTGAGCAGTTTTTGGATGCTGTTGTGATCATGGTATGTGGTTTTCCCCTGAGCACAACAGATGAGAAATGTTTACAGAACTGTGTTTACTGAGCGTTGCTGTTTAATAGTTCTCATACTTCCCTCTAGAAATGGGTCAGTACTACTGAAAATATTTGTATGTTCTTATTTTGCATGCACACGCTCACTTTGTTTGGCCTGCCCACCCTGGCTGTAGAAACTTGTTTGTCTTTTACTCCCTGTATCTGTTTTTCTGCATTATGGCATTTCACTTCATATTGGTGTCTATCATTTTCTACTTTCTTCTGTTTGTTGTGTGTGTCTTTCTTATTTTTCATGTTGTGCTAGGAGCTGGAGTAGTTTTAAGTGGAATCAAAACTATAGCAAGTAATAATGTGCCCGAGATTCGTTCATCCTATGGATTAAAACCCTATGAGGGCAGATTTTACCCTTTTTCTTAATGTTGAACTGTTCTACCTATAGAAGGCTGTACCTGTGCGGTGGCAGGGTGTGTGATCCAGTAACTTTGAGAGTGTCAACTTGCCCACAGAACAGAAGCATGTCATCACCTACAGCTGACTGCCTTCAGTCTGTGTCTTGATTTACATTTGGAGTCTTTGTCTTAGACCTCCCTGTAAGACCTTTTGAAATTGTTGTTGCTCGACCAATGGGTAAATGCATGCTCCAACCAGAGCAAGTGCTCCTGGTGATGCCCACTTAATCATTAATACCGTAGGAATGTGGGACATTTCAAAAACGTCCTTGTGTGTAGACAGTTCCTTGCTATAGAATTTCTCTGGTTTATAGCAAACCTGTTTTCACAGTAATTTTTTTGTTTTCCCCTGCAGCGTGGCTTTGTGACAGGAGGTGCTGATAAATGTGTCAAGTTCTGGGAGTTTGAGCTTGTGAAGGATGAGAGCAGTGCTCAGAAAAGGTGAGAAAATAAACCTTCCTAGACTACATTCAGCTTCAGTGTCCATTGTCGCTGATGTATGCTTTGGCCTTTGCTGTGCACCGTAAGTGCCCATGATACCTTTGTGAAACACATGGAGAAGAGTGTGAGCTCGGTGCCATGTTCTGAAGGTCTGAGCTTAGCTGGGGCAGGGCACTTGCCGCATTCTGATCCCTTGCCTGTGTGTGAGTTTAGCTTCAACTCACAGGATGGGTCATTAAGCAGTGAATTTAGCAGTGAAGTTTATCAGCCTGCAATGCCCCGTTTATTTCCAGTCCTGTCTTGCTCAAGTCATAATGAGGAATGAGATTCTGTGTGTTAGAATTACTTGTTTTCCCAAGGTGCACCGTGGGAGTTGTATTTATACCTCTTCCCAACTTTTTTGTTTGGGAAAACAATTGTTTTTTTCCTCTTTGTTGTTGCCAGGCTTTCCATGAAACATGTGCGCGTTTTGCAGCTCGATGAAGATGTTCTCTGTGTGCGGTACAGCCCCAACCAGAAACTGTTGGCTGTCTCCTTACTGGATTGCACTGTGAAGATTTTCTACATTGACACACTCAAGGTACATACCCAAATGGGCTATGGGGCTGTGCAGAGAGTGCGCAGGGAGTAGTTGTAGCCTGAAAGATCAAAAATACATAGGAGGAATGTCTATTTATTGTGGGATGCTACTAAGCTTAAAAGAGAGACCAGACATCCCACTTCAGGTGCCTGTTTGCTAGCAAACCTGACAGAGCCATGGCTGGCCCACACTGGGGAGAAGATCCATTTTTCATCTGAAGAGTGTTGTGGACCTGCATGGTTCACTCTAAACCCCGTGGGCGCGGTGATGCTCCAGAGCTGTGAAGCAGTGTAAGGGTGGGGTGGCATTAGAAGGCACAGTAAAAGCAAAGCCTGGGGTAGGAGAAATTTCTCTGTGATGGGCATGTGGTGGTTTTGTGATTTGTGTATTAGCGCATGACACAAGACAGACCAGCACTGACAGGCAAAAAGGAACAAGTAAAACTCTACCGACAGTGGTGAGAAGCTCAGTTTGCTTTGATACTTCCACTCTTCTCTCAGATCTGCTGTCATGGCCCTGCTGCTAGCAGCATTCAGGGCAGTGATGAAAGTGGAGCAGTACTAGAAAGACAGAGCTCCTGAGGCAGAGCTGAACTAGCCTGAAGCTTGAGATTTTTGCATGTCTGTACCCAGCATGTCTAACTGAGACATCTTTCTTCTGCTTCAGTTTTTCCTCTCTCTATATGGACACAAGCTGCCAGTGCTGTGTATGGACATCTCCTATGTAAGTATCATTAGGGCTGTGTGTTAGGTGGGACTGTGGTGATATGGATGGCTGTGAAAACCTCTACTGGAAGCAAGGCTGCTAGGTTAATGCTTTCTTGCAACCCAACTTAGCGGTTTCTTGACGGTACACAGCAAACTGCTCCTTATCCCACAGTCCTGTGCTCACTTGGGAGGGAGTCATGGAGTAGCGGTCATGACAGAACTGACTAGGGCATTTTGTGAGCAAGTAGAAGTCAAAATGCTTGCATCTTAAGAGGTATAGCCTGCTCTCTGCTAAAGTTATTAACTGTGTGAGAGGAACCTGAATTCTTTACTAGTGGGAGCAGAGAGCAGGTGGAGCAGCCTCTTCGTGCCTGTTCACTCTTGGGCTGCATCTCGCTCTGGGGTGTCCTTGCAACAAAGCTCCAGCCAGCTACCCACACCCTCCTCTCTTTCTCTGTTGCTCTGTAGGATGGAACTCTAATTGCAACCGGCTCTGCTGACAGGAATGTGAAGATCTGGGGCTTAGATTTTGGGGACTGTCACCGCTCTCTCTTTGCCCATGATGACAGGTCGGTCAAATCCTACAGCATATCTGCGTTGTGGGCTCTTATCTCCAAGGGGTTATGATCCAGCAATAATTTTCTTTTGTTCAGCACAGAGTGGGGGGAGGTCTGCAGTGTTCCCCAAGTGGGTGAATTTGAGCCTTTTTTTCCTTCCAGCGTGATGTATCTGCAGTTTGTGGCGAAATCCCATCTCTTCTTCACAGCTGGGAAGGACAGCAAGATTAAGCAGTGGGATGCGGATAAATTTGAACACATCCAGACACTGGAGGTAGGAAGCTTTGGAAACTGTTTAAATGAAGTGTTATCCCTGCATGAGCAGCACTTCCCTCAAGGGCTGGGAGGTGGGCATGTTCATGTCTTGCCTCTTCTGTTCACTGTGCAGGGGCATCACCAGGAGGTGTGGTGTTTGGCGCTCAGTCCCAATGGAGACTATGTGGTGTCGGCATCCCATGACAAGTCACTGCGCCTCTGGGAAAGGACAAGGGAGCCACTCGTTTTGGAAGAGGAGAGAGAGATGGTGAGAGTTGCAGCCTTCCTAAGACAACTGCCAAACCTGTTTTCTTCCCAGCAGGCAGATTCCTCGTTTTCACTGTGGAAGAGCCTAACTCCACTATCCACTGTTGGCAGACTTACTCATTACTAATCGCAGCCTGGTGTTGATGTGCCCAGGGCTGACTGGCATCTTTTGCATGATAGGACTGTGGTCCTAAGCGGTCTGGAGACAGCACTGCAGATGTCACAGGTCCTTGCCCACTTGTACTGCGTTGCAGATGCCTGGCTAACTTGCACTCTGCTTTTCTTCTTTCTTGCTTCACAGACTTTCCTCTATAGCTCTGGTTTTCTACAGGTCTGACGGCTACAGTCTTTGACCTTCTCTTATTCTGTTGTGCTCCTTTCAACTCTTGTGCTTTGGAGGCAGTTCAGGAGGTGGCTGTTGTGAAGTGATGGAGAGCACTGCTGCTGTTAAAGGCAATGTGTCTTACTTTCTCCTTTTCCAGCTGTGAGAGGTCCATTCTATCTCAGTAGCAAGCCCCAGAGCTCAGGGATGCTGGAAGGAGCACCTTCTGCTCCATTTGCACATACACAGTGAGGAATCACAGAAGGACTTCAATAGGAATGATGCTCTGGGGGTCTCTAGTCCAACCCGTTGCTCACTGCAGGACAACCTTAAAGCTGTATCAGACTGCTCAGAGACTTGTTATGATACATGAACAAGTCCAAGGAAGATTTTCTAAGCTGTCTGAGCACCTGTTCCAGTGCTGAACCACCCCTGGGGCTGGTGGGTGCATTTTTTTCACATATCCAATTGGAAATTCCCTTGGAACAATTTGTAACTCTTGTCTTTTCACTGTATCTGTCAGAGAAGTCTGGCTCTGTCTCCCCTTTTTAAAGCAGTTCTCAAACCACAGTGGGGGAACAATGTAGAAACACATGCAGAAGCAGGAGTGGATGAGAAACTTTCAATAAATGAGGGGGTTTTTGTGTTCCAGCCTGTTTGCAGAGAGCTGAAGTGATCCATAGGCAGCAAGTTGATGCCCAGTGGTTGGTGTGTTAGGAATGGTGGTGGTAAAAGAGACAGAGACAGCTCCTTTTCCAGATGCCAGAAAAGTGCATTTTGGGTCAAATTTGAGTAACAATGTGGGCGTGAATGCACCAGTAGTGGCTTATGTGCTGATGGGACCCTATTCATACGAGAGACAGCAGACAGGAGGCTTCTTTCCTCTTGCAGGACAGCCCTGGGACTTTTCTAGGCTTGTTCTGTGCTGTGTGCCAGGTGGAACGTCTGGTGCTTAACTGCTGTTGTGCCTTGGGTGGAGCGGCCTCTTCATGCCTGTTCATTCTTGGGCTGCATCTTGCTCTGGGGTGTCCTTGGGATGAGGCTCTCAGCTTGATGGGCTGTTCTGTGTCCAGAGCAGAAAAGACCTAGGTTGTTTTCTGTCTGGGAGATACTAGAGTTCTCCGTGGGATTGAGACGAGGGATGAGTGGGCATTTTGCACTGACATTGTTGATATCTGCTGGTTTGTCCTGTTTCTGCAATGGGCTGCATGAAGCTGCAGGCCCCATTGCTCAACCAGTCTGGAAGGGACTTGTACCTTTGCTTACTGCCTGCTCATCTGTGTTAATATATTGTGGTTTTATTCACCGTAGCAACGAGAAGCTGAGTACGAAGAAAGCGTGGCGAAGGAAGAGCAGCCTGTGGTGAGTTGCACCGAGTGTGTGTCAGTCTGTCTGTGCTAAGTCTGGAGTAAGTCTTTCCATAAGAGGTGTAGAAGAGGTGTCAGGGCTGATAACTTTCTTGAGATGCAGGGGGAGGGTGCTGCTGAAGCTGTGGTTGCCCCATGATGCAATTTACGCCAGTACTTCCTTCAGGCAACTTCAGAAGAGTGTGTGGAGTTGGCTGAACAGTAGCTGTGGATGCTGAAACCTTGCTGTGCTGTTGCTAACTCCCCAGTTCAGGTCCACACCAGCTCTGTACCAAGGTTGGACTGCCTTGTAACAGCTGCCTCCAGATCCATGTAGTGTAGGACACGTGGGAAAGCCCTCTTGTTCAGGTGCTGGGGTTGTGTTCCTGATCCTTTTGACACATTGGGTCACTCTGCCTCTGTTGGCAGAGTAAGAACTGTGTTCGCCTGCCCCCTGGAGGTCGGTGTTAGCACAGTGCCTCTGTTCCTGAGGAAGTGCTGCACACATGGGAAATCCTGTATTTTCCAGGATAAATGGCCAGTTTAGGGAATGGGGCTGATTTTTCATTTCTTAGTATGGGCTGTGGTAGTATGCAGGGGGTGCCTACGTGTATCAGCTGCTCATCTGCAGAAGGAGAGAGCTGCAAACTTTGTATTTTGTAGGTGGCTGGAGAGACGCAAGGAGAGACAGGGCTGGCGGGAAAGAAGACTATTGAAACCATCAAAGCGGTAAGATTGTGTGGGTCTGCCTTATTGGTCTCTCAAGGAGGGGGGCTGTCACAGGCTTGGAGCATCAGCTTCAAGAGGAGTAGCCTGTTCTGTCACATTGTCATGGTTCAAGCCGACTGGGACAAAAAACCACCTTGTCTCCAGCTCACTCCTCTCCTCGCCCCCACTTTCACAGTGATGTGGAGGGAGAAAATTCAACTAAAAAGGCTCTTTGAGATTAAGGACAGAGAGGGTAATAAGTAAAGAACCACAGAATTATTGAGGCTGGAAAAGA